ACAAATGGATGGAGAGGAGATCCAGCATGAGTTCATTTACGTAGATGAGGCTGGGTTCAACCTGACGAGAACACGAAGGAGGGGAAGAAACATCATTGGCCACAGGGCTATAGTCAATGTCCCAGGGCAACGTGGAGTGTTTAATTATGCAAAGGATCTGTTGTGTTTTGCTAATTGGGTGTGTAGTTGTGCTAATTGTGTGTAGTGTTTTGAAAACACGGGCCCTGTTTTGAAAATCGTGCTTAAGCAATCCAAAAAAACTGTAAGCAAACAAGTGTTTGCACACCTGATAACTGTGTTGAATCAATTGGTTGGAAGGTGCAGTAATTTGACAGTCAGTGCTTTGGTATTGCAAGGAAGTGACTTCATAATAGATTTTTGTGTGTAATGTATGTTAAGTGTGTTTAGTGTTTTGCAAATCACTGTGTGTAGAGTTTTGCAACAAATGTGAGGTTGACAATGTGCTTATAGTTGTGCAAATATGGGCTGATGTTTTGCTTCTTGAGTGTAAGGTTTTGCTAATAGTGTACTACTTTTAACTTTAGTGTGTAAGCAATCCAAAAAAACTGTAAAACCGGCTTCATCTACAAAAAGTAGTTCATGTCCCATGGCATCTGCTTCTAGTTCCATCACTCTCTGGACAAGACAAAACAAATAGAAGATACAAAATCTCAAAAGGAACTCTGTAAATTTGCTTCATTCTTATTCTGTGGCGCACAAGTACACGACTTAGTCCAGAAATGCTAACACTGTGTATATTTTGAAAGATGGTGTCATTATCAATTATGCGCTGCTGTATTTCGTGGAGTCTTATTGCATTATTGGAAATCCCCATGTTCACTATATGGGTCTCTTGCTCTGGAGTGAACATTCTTCCTCTGNGGTCTCTTGCTCTGGAGTGAACATTCTTCCTCTGCCCCAACATCTGGATGTCTAGCAATTCTGTAAAGTAACAATTTCAGTATTTTTGCATGTATGGGACTGTTGTGTTTCTCATTAGAGTATGGCAGTGCTACAAAGTACTTACTGATTCTCATTTCGAAATGTCCCAATGATGCTTGCCACAGTGTAGCGCCTCAATTAGGCCAAAGTCGTTGGCCAGCATCCCTCAGGGTCATCCCATGGTTGATACATGGTCCACTATTGTAGCTCTGATGTCATCAGTTGTTCTATTTCTTACTCCTCTTACCCTTCCTCTTTCCCCTCTTCGTTCTCTTCTTGCTCCTCCTTGTCCTCTTCCTCTACCCTGTTGCTTCTTCTACTCCACGTCCTCTCCCTCCGCCTCTTCTGATTCTCACTCTTCTCACTCTTACTGCTCCATCCATTGTACTCCACACAGACAGCTTACCTGTGGCTTATTTATAGTGCTTAGGCTGATTGCAAAGTGAACTAATTATCTAAAACAGTTTTCACATGTGAAAGTGTGCCAAACTGTTTGCAAAATAGTGTTAATGATAGCCATACATGTGTATAATTTTGCTAGGAGTGTGTTGGAAATTTGGTAATTGAGTGTAAGCAGTGAGTTGTGTTTAAAGTCCTGCAAAAAAATATTGTGCAGTGAATTGTGCCTACAGTTTTGCAAAATGTGCGTTACAAAATTGCAAACTAAGTGAAATGCAGTGTTTGTGCTTTTAGTTTAGCAAACTCAGTGAGTGGTTTTGCTATACGTATTAATAGTTTTAGAAATTGTGCTACAAGAATCCCGATTAGCACATAAGCATTCAGAAAAAACAGTATTCTATTTCTTACTCTTCTTACCCTTCCTCTTTCCCCTCCTTGTCCTCTTCTTGCTCCTCCTTGTCCTCTTCCTCTAACCCTCTTGCTTCTTCTACTCCAAGTCCCCTCCCTCGGCCTCCTCTGATTCTCACTCTTCTCACTGCAAACTCAGTGAGTGGTTTTGCTATACGTATTAATAGTTTTGGAAGTTGTGCTACAAGAACCACGATTAGTGCTTAACCATTCAGAAAAAACTGTAATATAAAAGATTATATATAAGGAAATATATAAAGAAATGCAAGTTTATCACTTTACTAAATATTACCTTCAGAGTTTATATACATGCTTTTTATTGATGTAATTAGCTGAGTGATATAGACTGAAATATTTTTTTAGAGGAAAAGGTAAAGACAAATAATCTTTGAATGTTTAAAGAGTATAGAAAGAACTAATTCAGGTATTTTGAACTAAACAAATTTGTAACTTTCAGATAAAACCCCACAGTAAAATAGAAAACACATTTTAACAATGACAGATGGTGAATTTTGGTAATTTTCATAAACTATTAAAAAACCACTGGCTTTTTATTGAAACATTTTGGCTTCAAACTGCAATATGAGACTACCAAGAAGATAATACTGAGATAATGACAGCGACGGGCTTGTAGTTTGGCTGCAAGTAAGAAAAACCCAAACACACAGGTGAAGACTTGCAATAACAGTTTTAAGACACATGTGGTCACGTATTTTACTCAATTTCCTTCTTCTTTTTTTTTTAGGTTGCTCTTGACATGAAAGCCTTTGTTTGATTTAGATGGTACTCGGGTTTACTTGAAATGTAACAGGAACCAAAGTAAGGAGACTATAAAACAAGAACTGAAATATTTGTGGAAAATTCACAGCTGAAAGCCTATAGAGCCCATATTAAACAGCAAATAACCCATTTTTAAATTCTAAACAGCTTAAAGAGTCTTTACCTTATCTAAAAACAGAATTTTATTTCAAACTTCTTTACAGAGAGGTCAAATGATGATCTTCAGTTCAATCAGAGCTTGGTGCACTCATGTATAAGACCACCAATACCATGTGTATAAGTTTTACAGCGGTCTACCACTTCAGTTCCGTCCACCGCTGGTCTGTGGAGAGCATTCCAGGTAACACTAAAGATAATTTGTTTTAAAAAACAATATCAATCCATCAAAAAATCAAAAGCCTCAAATTCAGGTAAAGAGAAAGCAGCTGATTGACCGTAACAGCTTTTATTGAAGTCACAATTTAAATAAGGTTCCAACGGTACTTTCACATTTTAATATTGTGGTACTAAATAGTGTAATCGTTCTTTCCTTGGCTGTGTTCCTTTCTCAAAAACGTAGTTTTTCTTTCCGTTCCCTACGGTGTTTAGATTTTAGATCAGGATGATTGGATTCTTGATTATGCGTTAATAGTCATTTTTGCAAGGTCAAAGTCGCCCAATCAGGGAAGCTGTCGATCTCTCCTGTCTCGATAAGCTGCTGGTCGCCCTGCGTCAGCGAAAGCTTGTAGCGTAGCCGCACTTTACGCTGAAAGAAAAAAAAACAAAGACGCAGGCATCTCTTAATGGAAATTTTTGCTACTAATACAAGAAAGACATGTTCAAAACTAAAAGAAAAATTAGGTCTAGAATTTTTTCTAGTATAGTTTTAAATTGAAAGTCTGTGTAGAGTTGATGAGGAATTTGACATCAGATGGCCTCGAAATCCAACAGATCTTGAGGGGTGTTTTTTGCAAAACAGAGAGGGACATTTTTCTGAAGGCAAGATGTACCACAGGGAGCAGACTCCTTCCAAAGAAAATGTGCTTTAAATAAGCTTAATGTTCAAGTGTGTGCAGACTGTGTGTTTGATTGGGTTGCTGCTGCTTTTAATTTTTTAAATATTTTTCTTACATACTGATTTTTTTTTTTAAGTTTAAATGCACATGATTTTTTTCACAAAAGTGTAAAATATAGAATATATTATTTTCCTGAATTTGTTTTGCTACCATCCATTGAACAAAGAAATATAACAGAGAGCCTTTCTTTGGGTGTATCTTTTCTTTGTAGGCCTTCTTGTTCATATGCAATAAAATGAGAGTGAAAGATCTTTCAAATGTAAAATCTAGGTAGAAAAAATAACATTCAAATCTAATACAAATAAACATGTTTTGCTTTCATGCAGTATGTATGTCCCCTGGGTAAAATCAAAATAATAATAATAAAAAAAATACACCCACACTTTCGGGATTGGCTAACAGCATGACTTGTGAGATGGCAGGTGGAGGCAGTAGAGGGTTGTAAGGTGGAAGCTGCGTCCTGGAGGCAGGCTGAAGTTTCACCAGCATGCTCTGAAGCAGAGTTAAGGTCAAATTTAGTCATGTTCTCAGTTTTAAATGTGTGACCAAAAAAGTGTCAAACGGATAAAGACAAGTTCACACACAAAACAAGGAAATGAACTGCTCTTCAGATTTCTGCTACTTTTTTATCCAGCCTATATACCTGAAGATTACATTATATTATGCAGTGTGTGCTTAATAGGATTTGGGACAAGTGAAAAAGAACAAAAAAAAAGAAGTACATTTTCAAGCAGCCGTTTTAGAAGTTAGAACACCAAAGCTCAGCACTGTTAGCAGCCGTTAGCCTATTAGAGGCTGCAAAGGCAGTAGTGGCTGTAGATAATTGGACGAGAAACAACACAGTCAACAAAAATCATTAGAGCCCCTCTAAGGACGTCAGAAACCTACTTAACATTGAGAAAGGAAGATATAAACCTCCCCAAAGCCTATTGGGAGAATCACACTGGGATACAGGAAAACAAATATGGTCTCTGTGGAACATCCCAAGTAATAAAAAACAGTTCCAGGTGCTTTGTTTGCGTTTGGAAGACATTCTACCTCCCCTACAGAAAAAAAAGCCTCTTGTTTCAAAGTCGTAGGATGATGTTCAGGTAAATACCACTCCATCTGTTTGGTGCTATAAGTATATGTACTGCTACAGAATCAATGCAGGTGCAACCCTGATATCCACAACAACAAATTAATAACACTAACTAATTTTGTGATGTGCTAAGCAGGCGTATTAACCTTGAGACGAAGAATGGTTCCATCCGACGCTCTGACCTTCTGTTTGATTAAGCTCCTTCTGTTTGACCGGCCAGGTGTAATCTCCATAGCTTTAAATAAGTGATAGTTACTTGATATAACGTAACGGAATATCTTCAGAATAGCTCCAAATGACACAAAACTGATATGGGTGAGTAGAACATGATGTAATAACGTAAAATCAAGGGCCCAATGTAAAAAAAAAAATGGTGTTCCCCTTTCATGGCTTTGTACAAATGGAGCAATAGCCTGGAAGTCAAGAGGTCATAAAGGGATAAGCCCCTACAGGTGGCTGAGAATGACCCTGCTAAGATCCTTTCACATACTGAAAGATGAACTGGTAATGGCAAACCAACTGGACATACTGGTGATGGACAGGAAGAAGAAGAAGGTTTATGTTATCAATGTAGCCGTACCAAGTGAAGAAAGAACGAAGGAACCTGGAGGAATACAAGGGCTGAGAGAGATTTATATATTTCTGAAAATGTAATAATAAGGAACAAACTCACAGTAGCATTAGACACTTAACAGCAAAACAATGACTTCAGGCTAGCTAATAGACCCCCCTCCTTATCTTTGATTTAACAATGCAACTCCTTTCTTCTTTATACCTTGGGAACGGCAACTTGAAAGGTGAAATCCTTCACATCCAGTGCAGATGTGTTCACTGCAGACATGACAGCCACCACCACACCGGGATGACCAGATGGACCGTCTCTGGCAAAATGGAGTGACACATGGATACCAGCCTTGTTGTATAATGTGACTGGCTCCAGCTGACCTACAAAACATTAGAAAAAAAAAAAAAGAAAAGAAAAAAAGTTAAGATTAAATAAACTATACCTCCTTTAAATTCTAGTGTTATTGTTTTTTAGTGGTTTTAATATTGGTTCTATGAATGAAACTATAAAGTAATCTGTGGTGTGCATATTCTGAAGGATAACAACAAATCATTTATATGTTATGACCCTAACATTAAAAGGATGTTTATTCTTTACTCTGGTCATAATTTTCTCACAGCTGCATGGTGCTCATTGTAAACAAGAGGTAACAGAGCCTAAGAATACCTACTTGATCTGATGGTTTCCAAAGGAACAAAGATGTTCTTTAGTGAAGGAGGGGGATTTCCACTGTCCTGCAGTATTAGCGGTGACCAGGAGTCTTTATTTTGTTGCTTATCTGATCCTGAGACCTGCTTAGTTGGCGATTGTGACCTGATAGCAAAATAAGCAAAGGTAGTTCAGCCAAAGGAATGTCATCTTATTGAGCTTCAGTTATTTCTCAAAGCAAAATTGCTAAAAAAAAAAAAAAGTATGATGATGGTTGAAATAAACCCCAAAACACAAACTGTTTCTGCAGGAAAAAATGTCAACCCACTGGGACTAAATAAAAATACACTTCACACGTTGCCTCTTCACTTGACTTCTAGAGACAGACAGCTTAAAGGTGGGCACTGTATAGTGGTTATGTAATTTTACACGAGTGTCTGAACATCTAGTGGATGAA